ATGGTACATGGGTAGGTGTCAGCTATATGTATATGGGTAGGTGTCAGCTGTATGGTACATGGGTAGGTGTCAGCTGTATGGTATATGGGTAGGTGTCAGCTGTCTGGTACATATGTAGGTGTCAGCTGTATGGTATATGGGTAGGTGTTTGCTGTATGGTATATGGGTAGGTTTCAGCTGTACGGTACATGGGTAGGTGTTAGCTGTACGGTACATGGGTAGGTGTTAGCTGTACGGTACATGGGTAGGTGTTAGATGTACGGTAGCTTTTATCAAGGCTATTGTCCTCCCGATATAAGTTTTTTTCTGACAGAAGGATCCAACAAGAACACAAACGGGTCACAATAAACTACACTTTAAAATATATGCCAGGTGGCCCATGTATCATTTCTCTAATCTTTCAATAATATATCTTTTAAATATAGCAAATTGGGTAATTATATTTGTATTATACAATTTTATTTTATTTTCAAGTGGATTAATGCTATTCGATTCCCTCTGTTAATTAATATTAATTTAGTAAAATGCAGATTTGTTGTTAGAACAGACACGACGACAATTACCTGGTGTGTATGTGTTGTGCAGACGAATGACAAATTCTGTGGACGGGCGGTCGTAGCATTTTATAGTTTGGTTTAAGAATCTTCACATAGATCTTGTTGGGCTATGGTGTTTAAACATGAATGTATCAGTGAAGGGTGGGTATTTTAATTAAAGAAATGTGTCGGACATTGCTAAGCTTTATATCATTCTTTCACCATTGCTGTTTTTATATCTTGTTTGCATTCGAACTTACCCATCATCATCACAGAACTAACTCACCCGTCAGGTGATCCACCAACGCCATAATCGTGCACATGACCGAACTGGTGGATCCATTCTTCTTCTTGTCCACAGGCCACATACACTCATGTATGATATAGCATTGATGCTACATGTTACACACGATGGAAACTTAATTAATGCAGTTACTTGAGTTACTTCAGAATCAAGTGGATCGATTTTGATTCTTGTCGTCGTTCTTCAACTTGTGTACCTCCGCAGCAGTCGACAGTGTCAATAATTCAATATACCTCAGTATTTCGTAATCATCTCTTTAATCTGGTTATAAACACATTTCTTTCATTTCATGTCAAGTATTTTCCTCTCTCTTCCATCTCATCTGTTTATAAAAAAAAGTTGGGCTCTCTTCTGAAAAACGGTCCCAAATAAACTAAGCAGACAGTTAACCCAAACAGAGCCTCGCAACGCAGACAGTTGACCCAAACAGAGCCTCACTCATATGTAAAATTTGCATATCTATTGCGGCGATTCAACCGCGTCAAAAGTAGGATTAACAGCGGACGACAATCTTTTAGCGAAACGCAACAGATTTTTATACGGCGATTACACGGCGGCAAAACTAGGATTAACTGCGCACGAAAACAATTACCAACACGCGAGAATACTCCCGATAGCGCTATCCTACGGTTGCGGACCGCTTATCGCCGACTATAGTGCCACCTCCGAGAGTATCCCCCGCGGCGCAGAAGGGGCTAAACTAGATGGCTAGGACTCACGAGCAGCAGCTACCGCAGCTCCTGCAGCTTCCTTCAGCTTTCTCCGATGTATTTGCTCGTGAGTCCTAGCCATCTAGTTTAGCCCCCTCCGCGGCGTGGGGGATACTCTTGGAGGTGTCACTATAGTCACCGGAAAAAAAGTCTACAATTTACAGGAACTACTTCGTCTGTCAGAAGTACCAGCATGCTCGCATTCGCCACAGTCAAGTGGTGGTCGGGATAGTGGAGCGCCATCGTGGCGGCTGCTAGTGTGAAGTTGCCCCGAGGCGACATGCGCGTACATTAAACCGCGCAGTTATATCATGTCTCGCCCGGAACGAGAATCGCAGACAAGCCGTGCCGAGTTACAATGGAGGACAGTGAGACAGAACATATATTCGCGCAGTATTTGCAACCTCTGTGCTACAATTTTCACATATAAAGGATTTAATTTTCGGTAAGTAGTAGACTGCCCTTTTCCTTACACTTTTTGTTCCCAATTTTTTCAGAGTTAAGCTTTTAAATGTTTGTAGGGCAGCTTCCGCATCTCCTGCAGCTTTGCTCGTGAGTCCCAGTCACCTAGTTTAGCCCCGCTCCATGCGTAGCGGCGTGGGAGATACTCTCAGCGGTGGCGGTATAGTCGCCGGAAGTCCGCAATTTACACATGACTGAAGCCTTGTTTTTGGCCGCTTTAATATGTGGCCATTATTCGGAGGATAGCCAAAAAGTTCCATTCCTTTAGTTTGTAAAAAGTTTTATGAGCAATTGTGTAGCACCTACTTGAGTTAAGCTCTCAGTAGCTCACTCTTTTCTCTCTCTTCTTCCAGAATGATCCCGTCATGAGAATCATCTCTTCAAAAACCCACTACCTGGTCCGCTTGTGTCTCCAGCTCCTTGACCATTTTACTTCTCACTGTCCAGTGTTTTACTCAGCTATACAGAACATAGCATTTGCCATGCTTAACAATATATGGAAGTCAAAGGGTTTTTGCAGACAAAACTTAGAATATACAAGAGCAACATTTTAGGAATGCTATTATACAACAGTGAATGTTGGAAAATGACAATGGAAATTACACATAAACTTGAGACTTTTCAAAATAAATGTAAAATTCTACAAATATTTTGGCCTAACAAGATCCCAAATGAAGAACTTAGAAGGAAAACAGAATGTGCATCACTGGCAAATGTTATCAAAGTAAGAAGATGGAGATGGCTTGGACAAGTTTGCAGAATGCCTTGTGAAGGCAAAAACAGCTCTCCAGTTGAAAGCAGATGGGAAAAGGAGACATGGACGACCTAAAGAAACTTGAGCCCGTCTCTCTAGCGAAGTTGGCTAAACCGGATTTCGCGGTGAGCGGGTGACGAATCCGGGTTCAAGAAAAAGCCACATTTCTCCAGATGTATTTAAAATGGAATCAAGGCCGAAAGGTTGCGATATCCATAATACCCAGCCTAAGGGTTAACAACTCATGGCTTCTGAATACTAAAACAAACAAACAAAGAAACTTGAAGAAGGACAATCAAACGGGAAATGAAGGAATGTAAACTGACATGGCATACCATGGGCAGAAAAGCAGCAGACTGGTAGCAATGGAGATCACTCGTGAATCCCTTATTTGTCAGCAGCAACATGAAGAGGATATACATAGATACAGAACAGGCAAGGCCACACACAACTTTCTAGGAAGTAGATTTATGTATTTATGTTTTCATATTTCCTGTGAAAATGCCTGTTTGAATTAAATGAAAATTGTATACATAAAACATATTAACAGAATAATATACATAATAAAATATACAAGTTATATAAAAGGTATTGTATGCGAAAGAGCCAGCCACATTTAACCCTCTTAGCACGGACGGGCCGATTATCGGCCGGCGGATGTCTGGCCAAAAACACGGAACGGCCGATCATCGGCCCGATCGTGCTTCGCCTCGAACCGCTAAGAAATCTCCTACTTGTGATTTATTTATATTCAGTGCTGTATTAACTTTACACATGGCAACTTTCGAGTGTTTAGTATCGAAGTGAAAATTGTTGTTGAATTTTTTAGATAGTGACCTGAACCGCTAAAAGTATGTCTGACTCGTATGTTTCTGCCCCTAAACTTGATGTTGATAAAACATTTGAATCAAGTGATTACACTAATTCTGTTGATACTGATGCAGGATTTAGTGTTAGTAGTAATAGTGGGGAATCAGATGGGGACGCTGTTGTGTTCAAACGACAGTCCAACCATGGCGCAGGGTATACCCACCCGAAGGTGTTGACACTCCGGCAAATCCATTTCTTGTGCTGACTGATAGTGAAAAACACATCTCACCTAAAGATATTATTGCTGTTTTATATATACATACCTGTTTTTGACTATTGAATTGCTTATAACACTTGCAAAAAGGCCAAAGATCAATAAAAAGATTTCAAATTTTAAAAAAATGTGTTTTTAGTTTTATGTTTCATGCATTGAAGTTGAAAATTCAAATTCAAATTTTCTATTTTTAGATATGCAAATGAGATAATTTGCATATACATCAATTAATTTTAACGATATTGTGAAAATCATGAACTTCAATCTATATCCTTCAAATAGATATATTATTTCATGGGGGTCAGAATAACAGAAATGTGTCAAAAAAATTAAATAAAGTAACAACCAAATTCACTGAAAAAATGCTCCGTGTTTTTGGCTAGACATCTGAAAAACTTCCCGTGCTAAAAGGGTTAACACATTGCTGGAATTTCTGCTTTCAGACAGTGCAAAGAGAGAGACAGACTTCTTCTCTATGATCTGACCAAATGTAATATGATTAGAAAATACATTGCACAAGTGCTATGATTTATGTGATAGAGCCAGTCATGGATTATCCACTTGTTTTGAACAGAAAGAGTTTACCTCCACACTTAAACCAGACAAATGAGGCTGTCAGCACTGTGCCTGTAACCTCCACACTCAAACCAGACAAATGAGGCTCATCACTGTGCCTGTAATCTCCACACTTAAACCAGACAAATGAGGCTCATCACTGTGCTTGTAACCTCCACACTTAAACCAGACAAATGAGGCTCATCACTGTGCCTGTAACCTCCACACTTAAACCAGACAAATGAGGCTCATCACTGTGCCTGTAACCTCCACACTTAAACCAGACAAATGAGGCTCATCACTGTGCCTGTAACCTCCACACTTAAACCAGACAAATGATGCTCTCAGCACTGTGCTTGTAACAGTACATTTTATGTAATTTTAAAAATTGTACATGTCTTTTTTTATTTCTTTGGTTTAGATGATGTGGTTGTCACATATGCACATTTAGTGACCAGCTAGTTTGTCAGATTTGTAATGCCATATGAATTAACAACCATCACTTGAAGAATTTCTGTCCTTGCTACTGTGAACCTGCATAATATTGACATACAGGAAATAATTCGTCAAACTTGACAGCTGGTCATAGACAAAAATGTTGACGACTAATGGACAAAACAAAAAGAAGAATTTCCATTTGGACGAGTCTGATCTTCTCTGCAAAAATGGATGTGGCTTTTATGGGAATCCAGCCTGGCAAGGGTTTTGCAGCAAGTGTTATAGGGAGGTGTACCAGACGGCACGGCAGGCCCAGCTGCAGCATGACGCTGCCAAGGAAGTCTCACATACTCTCGTAAAAAAGTAAGTTCTACTTGGCCGCTGTTACCATATGTAGATGAGAAGACAGTTTTTATCTTTTTAATGTAACCATAAATAGATGAAGAAGTCATGGTGTGAGATGTCAGTTTTCTCTTGCTAATATATGGTAGATTTAAAAAGTAAAAGTAAGGGGCCCTTTTACACCAGTGGCGCAACAGGCATATGATGTTAGTTATTGTTTGAGACCAGTTGTTGCTCGATAGGTGATGTGGTCAGCATCGCATCAGCTACCTTTACTTTCCAGGACTTTTTCTGGTAGTGATATTTACTACTTCATTCATCAAGGGCAACCCCATCAATACAAATTTGGAGCTAACACTTTCTGGCTAAAATAACTGATGACATGTCAAGGGAGGAATCCTTAACTGTACTTGAGATGTGGCTCAACTAAGATATACTTGTTATTCCTGACTGATGACTTGACACAGGATACATCTTTAACTATACTTGAGATGTGGCTCGACTGAGACAAACTTGTTATTCCTGATGGGATTAGTTATAAAGCCTATATTTGTTTAGTTGTGTTTGAACAAATCTGCAGTTAGCAGCTGACTTTTTGGAGCTCTTGGCTGTGAGTGTGTCGTCTTTATTGACCTAGATTTGATTCCTTCCAGGCTAGGTTTGTGACTTGCTGCCTATTTTATGGTCATTATTGCCAAAACTCTTCAAGAACATGAGAGTATTTGCATATTTTGTGCCAAATCTGTTTCTTTCTTTTTTTCTTTCTGTGTCTGTATGTTCATGAGAGGAAAGAGAGAGAGAGGGGTGGGGGAGGTAGGGGTGGATAGTTTTGGCAAGGAAATGAAAAACCTAGATTCAGGTTGGTCATGAAGAGATAATTAATGTCTGTTGTATAGATATTCAAATTAATTGTGATGAACTGTTTGACAGGGCGCCTGGTCTAGCAGAGGTAAGGGACTCATTTTCCCGGTTTGAAGAGAAGAAAACACAGCAGGTCAACAAGCGCAGTAATACATTTAAATCATTCCTCAGGAAGACTCCAAACAAAGGTTTGTGCATCTTAGTGGAGGGATGTGTGTTTGGGTGTTCAGACGTTTGGTTAGTTCATTGGTTGTTATGTTAGTTGTATGATGGATCTTTGGGTTGGATGGATTAGTGTTTGGTTGGATGGATTGATGACTGAGTGGTTGGATGGATTGATGTTTGATTCAAGTATATACTGGAGCAGTTAGGCCAGTTATGGAATATGCCTCCACGGCATGGGCTGCAGCAGCCAAGACAACAATGGGAAAACTGGACAAGGTTCAGAATGTGGGATTAAGGATTGTTCTCGGAGCCATGAAAACCACCCCCATAAGAGAAATAGAAAAGATAGCAGATACTGAACCACTCAAACTCAGAAGACAATACAAAACTCTTTTACAGTATGAGAAATTAAAAAGACTTCAAAGTCACCCACTGCATTTTAAATTTCAAGAGAGAACAAAAAACAGACTGAAGCGTCAGAGCCCCAACCACCTTGCTAGAGAACTGTACAGACAGCACCAAGATGTGCTTGAAAGAGATGTTGCACTGTGCGAAAAACTTAGGCCAGAACCATGGACAAGCAAGCCAGAGAAAGCAAATGTAGTCCTAAAGGTACTAGGAATGCCCAGACGGAGATACAACAGAGAACCCTGGCTCTTGCTATGCTTGATGAGAAGTATCCAAACACCACTTGGACTCAGGTTTTCACCGACGGCTCTGCTACAGATGCAGTCAGAAAGGGGTGTGTGGAATTTACATTAAACCCCCTAGCAGTAGAGCAGAAACACTCTCTCTACCAGCAGGTGACATCTGCACTAACTTTAGAGCTGAGGCAACTGCCCTCCTCTCTGCAGTCCAACATCTCATCACTCAAGAACACAGAGGGCACCAAATTGTTATACTTATTGACTCATTGTCTGTTCTCCAAGCACTATCCAGCAAAAAACAAGACAAACTAATTGCTGATCTAAGGACCAACATTGGCTTAATCTCCAAGGAAGCAGAACTGGTCTTGCAGTGGATACCAGCCCACTGTGGTATTCAAGAAAATGAGAGAGCAGATGAGTTGGCAAAAGCTGGGAGTAATCTTCCACAACCTCATCCACCACACAGCTACAAGGAAACCAAAACAGCGCTAAAGCAGTCTTTCAAGCGGGAGTGGAGAAGGCAGAATGGAGATTACAGACCGGAGAGTGACAGCATAAACAGACTCAACAGGAACGAACAAACATCAATTTTTAGACTTCGGACTGGACACTGTGGTCTTCGAGCACACTTGTACAGGATAGGCATAAAAGAATCTGCTGCCTGTGATTGTGGAGCAGAAAGACAAACCCCTGAGCACATACTGCAGTACTGCCCTTACCTCTCCCAGCAAAGACTGTGGATCTGGCCCAAAGGAGCCACATTGCAAGAGAAGCTATGGGGGACCGATGGCGACCTTAAACGCACAATCCTATTTGTGACCTAGACGGGACTCAATGTTTAGCATGACTGATGTCGAATGCAGAAGAAGAAGAAGATGTTTGATTGGGTGGATTGGTGTTTGATTGAGTGGTCAGATGGATTGGTGTTTTAGTGGTTTGATGGATTGTTGTGTGGTTGGATGGATTGATGTTGGGTTAGGTTGTTGGATGGATTATTGTTTGGTTGGTTGGTTGGATGGATTTCTGTTTAGTTGGATGGATTGATGTTTGATTGGATGAATGAGTGGTTTGTTGGATGAATCGGTGTTAGTTTGATTGTTTGGATGGTTGTGTGGGTATTTAGTTAGTTGGATGGTTGATTGGTTGGATTGTTGTGTGGGTATTTAGTTGGATGGATGATTGATTGTATAGGTGGGTAGTTTGATTCATAGGTATATGGGTGGTTGGTTGGATGGGTATTAGGTTGTTTTTTTATATTATAGAGGACTAAGTTTGAACACTGAACTCTGATATATTGTTGTTGGCCACATTAAAGTGGCTTGTACCTATCAGAATGAGGCATGTTTAGTGACTTTGCTCCCACGTGGACTTGTGCAGAGATCTTCACTCAAAGACTGTTATAGTGTCCAAGACTGGTATGGAGTTAGGTATCTGTAAAAGGGCATATTATGAACAGATTATGATTAAGCACAGCCTCTGCAAACTAGCCCAGAGTCCAACAGGTCAGCAAAATATTCTCTCACTACTGGGGGATTGAGCTCAGAACCCTGACTCTGTAAGCAGGTATACTAACTGTAGCAACTCACCTCATTTGTTTGCCATCTCAAACAGTATTGTGTAGCTCATATACCTGTAATATCAGTTTCTTTGGCTTAGCTGTTGCAAATGTGCTTTGTAATTCTGAGGTACCTGATTCAATTCCAGCTGCGTGTGATTTGACAGCAGATCAGACTTTCTTGCGTTGATTTCGACAGAGGTATCAGGAGCGGATCAGTCAGCAAGAAATGGCAAACTATTAAATATAAAAGTGCCTTGTAAAATCAGAAACAGTCATCAAAAGCTGGGTTGGTACTGCTGCAGCATCCATAAAGAACAGCAGTAACTTTATTTACAACTTATAGATGGTAATTACTTATAGGAAGTTTGGTTGACTTATAACTACTGATCAGAAGCAATGAATGGAGATTTAAGCCAGATCTTCCCCATGTGGGTTCTGGGGCCGCATTTGGGGGGGGGGGGGAGGTATAGATCTACTACCCCATAACAAGCATGTCATAAAGGGCAACTGATTGGGGGTGTTTCCGACAGAGTGCATCTACTAGAGAGGTAAGGAGCTATAAGTGTGCATAAAAGTAAGCCAGATCTGTAAAACAGATGTGCATGCGAAACTCAAGTTCTGGAACAGGATTAATTAAAGTCAGGAAATGAACAAACAACCAGAACTTTCTGCCATAGTGAATTTAAAAATTAAAAGAATATGAAAGCCAGATCTTGACATGTCAGCATACTGTCCGCTGTGTCAGTGTTTCTCCATTACTGTGGAAATTGAAATGATTCCATCATTGTCTGTTTCAGAAAACCAACCCGTTGTTAAAGAAGTGAGACCCATCAGTGCAGAAAGTCAGAAGATTGGTGGCGAGTTTGCAGATTTTCTCAAATCTATGAAGAGGAAACAGGCAGCTCTGGAGATATCCAAACTGGTAAGCCATTACCGTCATCCAACATTATCTTTGTTGGATTACTTGACTTTCTGTTTGTCTTCGTCATCTGGCCTGAATTCTCCAACCGAACACAGACAGTGTCAACATTTACAGAACCCATTTTATTAACTGTATGGTCAACATTAACAGAACCCATTTTATTAACTGTATGGTCAACATTTACAGAACCCATTTTATGAAGTGTATGGTCAAAATTTACAGAACCCATTTTATGAAGTGTATGGTGCTAGACCATGTTTGTGTAGCCTGTTGGCAGTCGGCGGCTCTTGCCTTGACCTCCCAGAATTATGCTTGACATCCATTTGAAACTAGGTCGACCTGGGAATGTGTTTAATAGATTTTAGGGAAGGGGGGGGGGTGGGGGGGTGACGACATGGCCAGTAGGCAGCCATGAACTGTGATGAAAGCAGTGTTTATTTTCTGTGACAGTGCTCATGACTACTGGCACATATGCACATACAAACACAAACCAACAAGGGAGCTATTTTTTTAGTTTAAATGATCTTTTGTGGGCTACAGCTGAGTTGTCTTGCAATTACAGGTTCGTGGGTTCATCGAACGAGTCCAACATAACCAGGACTGGAACATCGACGATTTGTCAGAAATAGTGCAAGATTTCTATGGAAGCCTCTCCGACAAACTCAGCACTCAGCCAGTTTTCAAAGGTCTGAAACAAATATGTGTGTGTGTGTGTGGGGAAAAAGGGGGAGTGATGTGTAGTACTATTTTTTATTCCATTGTCTTCCAATATGTAGTCACTACCCCAGCTCTTGTTGTGCACTGGAACACACTGTGTGTTGTCAGCCAGTGTTCAGGTGTATCAGTTAATGCATTGTATGTTATTGCACATTTTACATTTGGTCTGAGCACTTACTTACTTAATCGCTCCTCTTCTACTTTAGGATGTAGAGGTTTGCCAGAGAAATCACCAGTCTTCTCTGTCAGCAGTTTTCTTTCTTGCTTTGTTCCATTCCAGTCCTCTGTCAGTTAGGGACTGTCAGATGTTGTCTTCCCAGCGGACCCTGGAGGTCTGGTTCCATGGTTGTTAGCCTCCCGTGCCTGCCGTGGTGGCCAACTTTCTTCCATTCTGCATTCATGTCCAAACCATCGTAACTATGACAGATTCACTCAAATTTGTAAGGCCTGGGTTTCGAGATGTTAACTTATTGACTGATTGTGGACTGTGTCCTTTCTTATCACTTGGACCCCCTTTCTCAGATATCTCATTTCTGAGGCCTGAAGCTGGCTTCTGTCATTGCCCATGACTCACACCCCTAGTTCAGGACTGGCACATAAGTACAGCGCTAAACAGCTATTTTCATCCTGTTAATTTCTCTTTTGCTAGGAAACTCAATTTATGTCTTGGGAAAAGTCTCTCGGCATTGCTTTTCTTGTATCCAGCTGTATCTTAATGCCTCTGTTTTGGTCTGTTAAACTCCAAGGTATTTGAACTGGTTGACCTGCTCCAATGCATACTGTACCACCATGATCTGGTGTTTCTTCTCCTCTCTTGAGATCACCATGGTTTTAGTTTTGGAGACACTGATGGTCATCCTTCTCTTCTCAAGCTGCTCCTTTCAGGCAAGTAAGTTGGATTGAAAATGTGCTTGGTTTAAACACTGACATTAACAGGCTGCACAGTGTATGTTCCAATAGTACACTCTTGCTGTTTATTGTGGGTATTGTTTCACTTGGGATTCTGCTGCCTAATCTTGTGGGACTGAAAGGTACAGTCTGCTTGTGTTTTCTTAAGTCTCTCATCTGTCCTGGCAAGGACATTGCTGCACTAGGTCTGTTTATAGTGAAACTAGCATGTAAACCTATCAGCAATTGTTCTGTGGAACTTGTTCTACTGTGATCCAGTAAATCTTGGATTGTCAACTGTAAGTAGTAATTTTCTCATTGTTGGTCAATTTTATCTTTGTTTGAAAATGAGGACAAGTACTAAACATAAATTATGTGCAAGAATTTGGATGGATGGCATCAATGACTAATTATAAAGAATAAAGAAGTCATAAAATTGTCATTGGAGTTTTTGAGTGCACAAGAAGTAGAATAGAATATTTAAACTTGGAGCAAGTAAAAAAGCTCATTCCTATTTTGAGTCCTGTGAGAGTCCAGTCCTTCTGTGAGAGAGAGTCCGGTCCTTCTGTGAGAGAGAGTCTGGTCCTATGGCGCTTGGAGAGAGAGAACTGAATTATTCCATGAAGTCAGCGAATGTATGATCAAGCTGCTGACCTGTTTCCTGAAAAAACCTGGCTATGCTCTTAGCACCAAATAGGTAAAAACTTGGAGGCACCAGATTTATTGGTCTGAAAAGATTGTTATGAAAATCTTGGAGTGTGAGCCAACAAACGGGTAAAAGCTTAGAGGCAACAGATTAATTTATCTGAGATGATTTAAAAAAAAAAAAATCTTGTATAGCATTGTAACTAACAATGATAGGCTAGAGGAAGCTGCTTAAAGCAGAACACTATACGTAACTGTCAGATACCGACAGGTACTGCTGTTGGTCATGTGGTTAGGAGAGAGGCATACGAAAATATGACGACCGGAAAGATCAGCTATAGAATAATACATTTTACAGAGTTAAACAAAAAACCTTTTTTTTAATCGTTTCTTTGAAAAACAGGCTTTTCACAAGACACCATAGACACAGTCATGGATTATACAGAGCGTTACGTCCTTATACGCTTGTATCCTTCCATTTTCTGTTCTCCCTCCACAACGGACGAAGAAAGAGACTTGGCCATTCAGAATCGTATCAGGAGTCTCCATTGGGTGACTACAACACAGTTGGATACCCTCATTAAAGATGATGACCCAACCATCCGACATGAGCTGGACAGTGCAATAACAGGTTTGACATCCACATTCTTTGTTAGCTGGGCAGTATCTGTCTATTCTCTTTGATGTGTTTGTGAACTGTTTTCCCATCTTTCGGTGCATTGCTGTGTGTTGGAAAACTGTCAGTAACAGTGACAGTAAGTAAAGTAAGGGACCCTTTTCTGTGCTTTCAGATGTATTGGGCATATAGGGCTAGGCCAGTATTTTTTAATGTTATGAATTTTATTAGAAAACCAGTCATTTTGGAAAAAAATCTCCAAACACCCTTGGTAATGGGAGACAGTAATGCCCCTGGATTGCTGGTCAGGAAAGTGTTAACACACATTCCATGTCCAGGATTGCCTCCTCTGCTTGACAGGTCTTGTAATCTCTTTGAATGTTTACGCCCCTCCCTGGAGGGGGGGGGGGGGGGGGGGGGGGGGGGTAATATTCTTGTGGGAGTACTGTCTATCTTATATCTTAATTTACCTAAAATGTTCAGATTTATTTGACTTCATCTGAATCATTATTAAATGTTTCAATTCTGTCGTTTAGATATCATAGAAATGGACTCCAAGCGTGCCACACAAGACAAGCTTCAGTGTATAGTCAGTTGTAGCAAGCATATTTTTGAAGTCTTACGTCAGTCAAAGCAGGGTCCAGCCAGTGCAGACGAGTTCCTACCAGCTCTCATTTACATTGTGTTAAAAGCAAACCCACCATTGCTGCAGTCAAACATCCAGTACATTACTCGCTTTGCTAATCCAACCAGACTCATGAGTGGAGAGCAAGGCTACTATTTCACCAACCTGGTCAGTTGTTTTACATTCTTCTGTTGTTTTTTTTTTTTTTACACTTTACTGAAGCGTAGGCCCTCAGTCATGTAATAATCCTTTTCCATGTCATCAAGTGTAACTCTTTCCATGTTTATCCATCTTATTTACCTCTCTTTTATTCTCTTCTTTGTGTTTTTTTTTTGGCCTTCCTTTATTTCTGTGGCCGTCTGGTTCCAACATAAGGACACTAGTTTTATCATCAGTGTTTCTCAAAGTCCTGTTCAACTCCAACATCTTTTTCTCACATCCTGACTCACTGAAATTTGAGTACTGTTAAAAATCCACATTAGTCATAAATGAGAGATATGTTAAGGCTTTCACAGTCAAAATGTAGTGGTGCTGAAATCAGTAGTTAACAGTAGTCTGTCAGTATTCTTGTGTGACTGATTCTCTCATTGTGAACATGTCAACATGTTTATGATGTTGAAGTCATTAGTTAACACTAGTGTGACAGTATTCTTGTGTGACAGATTCTCTCATTGTTAACATGTCAACATGTTTATGATGTTGAAGTCATTAGTTAACAGTAGTCTGTCAGTATTCTTGTGTGACAGATTCTCTCATTGTGAACATGTCAACATGTTTATGATGTTGAAGTCATTAGTTAACACTAGTCTGTCAGTATTCTTTTGTTACAGATTCTCTCATTGTTAACATGTCAACATGTTTATGATTCATTGTTAACAGTAGTGAACAGAGATTCTCTCATTGTTAACATGGCAACATGTTTATGATGTTGAAGTAATTAGAGTCTGTGTTGAAGTGAATTATTAGTTAACACTAGTATTGTCAGTATTCTTGTGTGACAGATTCTCTCATTGTTAACATGTCAACATGGTGAAGTTATTATTATAACAGTATGTATTGAAGTACATGTCAACATGTTTATAGTTAACACTAGTCTGTCAGTATTCTTGTGTGTGACAGATTCTCATTAAACAGTAGTGTCAGTATTCTTGTGTGACTAATTCTCTCATTGTGAACATGTCAACATGTTTATGATGTTGAAGTAATTATTAGTTAACACTAGTCTGTCAGTATTCTTGTGTGACAGATTCTCTCATTGTTAACATGTCAACATGTTTATGATGTTGAAGTAATTAGTTAACAGTAGTCTGTCAGTATTCTTGTGTGACAGATTCTCTCTCATGATGTTGAAGTCATTAGTTAACACTAGTCTGTCAGTATTCTTGTGTGACTGATCATTGTTGAAGTAATGATGTTGAAGTAATTAGTTAACACTAGTCTGTCAGTATTCTTGTGTGACAGATTCTCTCATTGTGAACCTGTCAACATGTTTATGATGTTGAAGTAATTAGTTAACAGTAGTCTGTCAGTATTCTTGTGTGACAGATTCTCTCATTGTTAACATGGCAACATGTTTATGATGTTGAAGTCATTAGTTAACACTAGTCTGTCAGTATTCTTGTGTGACAGATTCTCTCATTGTGAACTGGTCTAGATGTCCAGACCACTATAAAGGTTAAAGTCGAGAGGATCAACTTCATTGCACCGGGATTTATCCCATATGGCTCGGTCTCTCTCTGCAGAATGGCTGGCCATCTGCGGAGAGCATCACACAGAGAGCATGAACTCCGTAGCTCTAACGACAACCCCCAGGGATCTACATAAAAACTGCACTTATGGACTGAATGACATAGCCGGGAAATGAACCCACAGCCAGAGTGCGAGGAAAATGGCTTGATCACTTCGCCGCAGAGACTCCCTCCAGACTACAATGTCAGAGTCAGGTTGGAGTATGCCAGGATCAAGTGTGGGTATTCCAGGATTGGGAGGGGGTGGTATGCCAGGCTTCAGTATTTAGTACACATGCAGACCAACCACACATTGTTTCTCTTAAATTTGCTGTAGACAATTGTGCCTCGAATCTGTAATCTGGTAATTACCTTGAATTTGTGTCATCTCTTTGTAACTACACATCTCTTTCACTCAGCTGTTTTATAATTGCACCTCTCATTGACTCACCTTGTTTGTAATTGAATGTCTCATTCACTTTAGTAGTGTTTAATAATAGTACAAAATAGATTATCAACACCTTGGACAAGAGTTAAAGTAATAAGCGTTACAGGGAGGATGGGACCGGAGAAGTTGTTAACTTTTTTTGACTGTTGCTATCATCCGCAGTGCTGTGCTGTGTCTTTCATTGAGGGCATCAACGCGGAATCTCTGAACCTGAGCTGTACAGACTTTGAGCGCTACATGTCAGGGGAGGCCATGCCTCCAGGGGCAGGCAACCAACATCTGTGTCTGGGTCTCCGGCTGATGTATGAAAACTTGCGGGTACTGGGAGAACTTCGACAGCGTCAGGAGAAGGTTATGGCCGAAGCTCTGCAACTCCAGGCCGACATGAATGAGTTCAAGGAAAACTTCATCGAGAAAGTGGACAGGGTCAAGTCAAGGACACCTTTGATTATTCGTCCACGGAAAGTGAAAGTTGATCTGGATGCAGAGTTTTCTGGGAATGGGAGTAACCTCCCTTCTCCATTAGTTCCCATGAGGATTCTTCTAGATGGCCAGTCTGTTCCAACTGCTGGTCAGTTGCAAGAAAAACTAAATGAGTCAGAACAGATTCTAGAAAACAGAAATGCTGAAGAGTCTAATGAAGTGATTCTTGAAGATGTGGAAAATGTGAATGCTAATAGTGAGTTTTTGACCTGCCAGAGTGATAGTTTGATGCATGGGAAGAATGAAATTGATGAGATTCTTTTAGGAGAGCAAAGTCTGAGCATAGATGAAAATTCTGAGATGAGCTTTGACAAATTTGAAGGTCAACAAGATGCTGAATGGCTTTCTGATACCGGATCAGGTGGGGCCAAGGTTGTTGGAGGATCCATCGATGATGTGGCTGCCGCACCGCTGGATCAGGAGATGTCTGAGGGTACGCCAGTAACCACCACCAGCTAAATAACTGGCAGTGATAGAACAGAATAGCACACCTCATCACAGTGTTTTAATTCCTTCTACATTTAACCTAGAGGTCCCAAGCTCATGTGAATCATAAAACAGTGATGTCTGTGTTCATTGTCGATAGTAAATATCTGCTGTGTGCTTGATTTGTTCTCTGAATTTAAAACATCAAGAGACAGATTTCTGGAAATAGAGCTAAAGGAAGAATGAAAAGGCAGCAATTAGACAACTTCAAGAATACTGTAAACAGAAATGTACATCCTCTCCTCAACTTACAACCTATGCGACTTACGACCCCCCCCCCCCCCCCCACACACACACACACGCGCGCGCACACACACACACACACATATATATGGTGAATAAAGAAAGGTGACTACATTGTTAGGGTCAGAAAGTTCCAGAACGGATGCAGTTAAGTACATATTATGTATTTTTTCACATTATGTACAATAATTACATGTACTTAGATTACATTTTTATGTTTTGTGTACAATTGTATGACCTGTTTAAATAAAAACAGTGTTGAAAATGATAAATTCGACTTACAGCCAGCTCGACTAACGACCTCTTAGTTGGAACAACCAGCTAAACTAACAACCTTTTAGTTGGAAGAGAATTCTATCATAAGTTGAGGAGGCCTTGTAAATCAGGGCTATTCAGCTAAGTTTGTTGAGGGGCCACCATTTTAAAAATGGGGATCTTCACGGGCCAGAGGACCCAGCTCTAGAACAGTAAGATTGTTAGCAAGTACAACTGGCAATGATCCGCGGACCACCTACTATGGTCCTGTGCGCCACTTGCGATTCTTCCGCGGGCCACATCTGGCCCGCAGGCTGCCAGTTGAACAGTGCTGCTGTAAATGATGCAACCAAGGCAGCATATCAGGCCTTGGGGCGCAGATGAGACATCCTTTTAGTACTGACTGTGAACAGGGTTATAGGTCTCAATCTACTTTTGATTTAGAGAGTTTTAAACCTTAGACAATGCTGCAGATAAAAACAGGTTTTTAATCGAGATTAATAATGAGAACAGGTGAAAGTTGAGTGGGATGATACCTGAAAGGATGGAGAATGTTTTTAATCAAAATTATTAATGAGAACATAAAAGTTGAGTGGGATGATACCTGAAGGGGTGGAGAATATTTTTAATGAGAAGAGATGAAAGTAGAGTGGGATGATACCTGAAAGGATGGAGAATGTTTATAATCAAGATTTTTAATGAGAAGAGATGAAAGTTGAGTGGGATGATACCTGAAGGGGTGGAGAATGTTTTTAATCAAAATTATTAATGAGAAGAGATGAAAGTCGAGTGGAATGATTTCTGAAGTGGTGGAGAATGTTTTCAATCAAGATTTTTAATGAGAAGAGATGAAAGTTGAGTGGGATGATACCTGAAAAAATGAGGGGGGGGGTGGTGAGAATGTTTTTAATCAAGATTATTGACAAAAAAAAGGGGGGGGGTGAGAATGAGAAGAGAAGATGAAATTGAGTGGGATGATACCTGAAATGGTGAAGAATGTTTACAGTCAGGTCTCTGATGGTCAAAGGAAAACAAGGTACAACTGGTTGCAAGGTACAGTCGTTAAAAAGTAACCCTCTATTTCTTGGAGTATCATCTGCAGACCCCTGTAGCCATGAGTGTTGCATGACAGTTCTTGATTGTCTTTGCCTCAAATTGAGCATCTGTTCCTCTTATGGTTCTCCACCATCTTTGCAATTTGAACAGTGAATTTCCAAACTTCATAATTGCCAGCAGGCTGGGCAGAGTTATACCTTCAGCCATGTTTGTAGAGCTTCCAATTTTTTTTTTTTTCAAATGTTTGTGAAACAAATGCAGATAGATTACGCGGGGAAACAGATGCAGATGCAGATTAGATTTACGTGTGGAACAGATGCATATAGATTAGATTTCAAGTGGAACAGATGCTGATAGATTAGATTTACCTGTGGAACAGATGCAGATTAGATTTACTTGTGGAACAGATGCAGTTAGATTTACTTGTGGAACAGATGCAGATTAGATTTACTTGTGGAACAGATGCAGTTAGATTTACAGATTACTGTGTTCACATCTCTAATGATGTGGTCAGTCAATTCTGAAAGACACTTGACCATATCGTGAGTGGTGCTGACATCTTTGATGGACTGGTCAGTCAGTGTTGAAAGACACTTGACCGTATCGTGAGTCATGCTGACATCTTTGATGGACTGGTCAGTCAGTGTTGAAAGACACTTGACCGTATCGTGAGTGGTGCTGACATATTTGCAACATTTAACCACAATCTCTGCTTCATAGTATATGTGCTGAACTTATTGAGAATGTTCATATGTTGTTATATTTCTCTGTTGTTTTATTTTTTGGAGTTGTATTTGATCCTAAATGTCTCATAATACCACACCAAATTTTTTATTGGGGGGAAAAAGGGGGGGGGGGGGTCTAATTTAAGTCAGTAAATGATCTTTGTTCTTGATGTTGATTGTCAAAAACTGCAATTTTTGTGGCAGGTACTTATAAATTATCTAACTGGTGCCAGCTCTGCTTTATTTTCTGTAGACTTTGATTTAGATGAGTTGTGTGGTCAGTATGCCAGCCAGCCAGCAGGCCATTAACCTTTAGGTCAGTTTGTAAATAGTCCCCTCCCTGACAGACCAAACCACATTCTCGCCAGTCTGGCAGGTAAGTCTGCTAGCCACTGGCTCCCTGGAAAGGACCCCCCCCTCCCTCGACCACATAATTTTGACAGCTTGTGTGATTTTCTGATGCCCATATGAAGGGCCTTTCCCCGATGCCCACAGTTGGGACCCCTTTCTCTGATGCCTACAGTTGGGGGCACTGTAGAGTTCAGGCATTGATTATAATCTTGTGTGCAAGGAGACTGGAGCACCTCTGGAAGTATTCCTATGCAGTGAGAATGATCCTTCACAGAGCGGTGCTGAGTAGCAACACACATCACCCCAGGTGATCATCATCTAGAAGGTCCCTTGCAGAATATCGCTGCTGTTCTCATGGTCCACCAACCAGATTCTTCATCCTTTGTCTCACAGATTTTTCTGCCCAAGGTGTCTTCTATGTCCTGTGGCCACCTTCATTCTGGTCAACTCCTGGCTTTTGTATATCAACCTTACTTACTATTACTGATGATGTTCCGTACTTAGCATTACTGTTCATTCCAAACCATTATAGCTTTTAAAATGGTCAGATTTGTTTTCCTGTTTCCATGATGCTGATTATATCAACAATTTTCTGTGATGTTCACACCTTATGTAATATTATTGTTATTTTCTTTCTTTCCCCATGTGAGTTCTGGTTCCTCATTGTTGGGGGGGGGGGGGGGGGGGGGGAGGAGACAAGAATAGAGTGCATCTGCCTGAGAGGCAAGGAACCAACAGTATGCTTACAGATAAGCCACATGTGTAAAGCGGATGTGCACACAAAACTGGAAGAAGACAAAATTCCAGAAGGGGATAAACAACAAGAACTTTCTGCCCAAGTTTACAGCCAGTGAGTGCTAAAAAGAAACAGAAGAAGATTCTTTATTGACCTGCAATATTCTAAGATTTTTGCCCCCTCCCCCCTCCTTTTTCCACACACATCCACATATGGCTTGACTGGTCAGTCATGGTGGGGGTCTGGATTCAAACACATGAAGCCTCCATATGGTGACCGCTGTAGTACCAGGTTGTTGATTGTGTTTATACCTGAGCTAGTAATCAAAGGAGACATTCAGTTCTCATAGATATGTCTCATTCATTTATGCAATAATTTTACTTTATATCTGAATTCACTGTTTTAACAAGCAAAACGTCATAAATTGCAGTTTTATATACCATTTGTTGTCTGTTTCTCGTTTACAACCCATGTTGTGCTGTGTCTCCAGTGATGTCCTGGACAGGATGTTGTGTAGCAACCCCAACATTTATTGGCTATTAATTGTTTACAATCCATGCTGTGCTGTATCTCCAGTGATGTCCTGGACAGGATGTTGTATAGCAACCTCAACATTTGTTGACTTTCTGGTTTATTCACGCTGTGACTGTCCTGGACAGGATGTATAGCAACCTCAACATTGGAATTTCTGGTTTATAACTCACACTGTGCTGTATCTCCAGTGATGTCCTGGACAGGATGTATAGCAACCTCAACATTTGTTGACTTTCTGGTTTATAACTCACGCTGTGCTGTATCTCCAGTGATGTCCTGGACAGGATGTTGTATAGCAACCCCAACATTTGTTGTCTGTTTCTGGTTTACAATCCATGCTGTGCTGTATCTCCAGTGATGTCCTGGACAGGATGTTGTATAGCAACCCCAACATTTATTGGCTATTAATTGTTTACAATCCATGCTGTGCTGTATCTCCAGTGATGTCCTGGACAGGATGTTGTATAGCAACCTCAACATTTGTTGACTTTCTGGTTTATAACTCAAGCTGTGCTGTATCTCCAGTGATGCCCTGGACAGGATGTTGTATAGCAACCTCAACATTTGTTGACTTTCTGGTTTATAACTCACGCTGTGCTGTATCTCCAGTGATGTCCTGGACAGGATTTTGTATAGCAACCCCAACATTTGTTGGCTGTTAATGATTTACAATCCATGCTGTGCTGTATCTCCAGTGATGTCCTGGACAGGATGTTGTATAGCAACCCCAACATTTGTTGGCTGTTAATGGTTTACAATCCATGCTGTGCTGTATCTCCAGTGATGTCCTGGGTCAGTTTTTAGTTGCTTGTCCTGGACAGGATGTTGTATAGTAACCCCAACATTTGTTGGCTGATTGTGGTTTGACCAGCCAGTTGTTCATTCAATAGTTTGCTGATGCTTTCTGATTAGCCTCAGTTCCACACCAGTGTTCAAGTCAGTGCAAAGCGATCTGATGCAGAATTGTCTGCAGCTGAATCTTATATTAACTGGCTGTTGCAGAATTATGAACCCTGTTGGTAACCCCTAAGCCGTAGGTGCTGACATTTTGTTGTACATGGACAAAATAATCT